ATAGTTTTGAAAGAAATAGGTGGTAAAAAAAACAAAATTAAAGATTATGCTAAATGAGACTAATTGCATCGTAAATTCCTCGACAGAGTGCAGTAGGATCAACGATAGTTGATATTAACAAGTCCTCACAAAAACTTCTTCTAAGGACTACCAACCCCTGTGGACTTCTACGTTGCTATGTGATAAATTTCTTTTGTACCTTAAACATCATAGTTTTTAAATATCAAAGATATAATTTAACGTAAATCAAACTACATTGAAAGAGTTTTTACCCACATATTATGTAGTAACTTCATGGAATAATTATTTCGAAAGCGTTCTGTGATGTAGCCCGATAGAGTTTTTTATTAATATTCCTTCTTTAAAGGAAATTTTTTAAATAAAAATTTATTGTGAATCGTGGTATACAGCCACCTGTAGAAATTTATTTTCATTGTGAATATGATAAGGAAATTAAAGGGAGAATATGGGCTATAAGGACTCAAGATAAATATGTGTAGACCGAATACTTATGTAGTGGATCGGAGGTTGCAGATTTAAACTTAAGTTTAGAGAAAAAATCTATTACGAGTTGTAAGACTTTTAAGTATTTAGGGTCAATGATAAGCCGAGATGGTACTTGTATGAAAGATATAAAAATGAAAATAGCACGGGGAAAACAAGCCACGAAAGCACTTCGTGCATAGCAAAAAAGGATCTTTCATAGCATAACGATGAATATTAACCTGTATGGAGGGGAAGTATGGCCAATGACAACATCAATACGAATTAAAATAAGAACAGTTCCCCTGGACTTCATGAGAAGATATCTACAAATCACAAGAGCGAATAGAATAAGAACAGAGAAAATATGAAACAGACTGGAAATAGAATGGTCAATTATAGAAAAGTGAAACAGAGAGCTACAGTGGTACAAACATGTACAAATAATGACAGCACAGGATTTGGGAAAGAATATTGAACTGGGACATGCCGCGCCGTGAAGAAGTCGAAGAGGAGGACCTGCTACAAGGTGGAAAAACACATCTAGGAAATGATATGATTGATATAGACCTCAGAGAAGGTGACTTAGAAAATAAAGTGATGTGGAGGACAAAACGGCAAACTCATAAGGGGAAAAAACCGAAAAAAGGAGGAGATATAAAAAAATATCTAAAAAATTAAATAAAAGTTTTTACTTTCCATTATACAATTATTTTCGTATCTATTAGGGAAACGTGTGCACCAGGGTAAACCAAACATACTTTTTTAAAATATTATTCAAATGTAGATTAAACCAGTTCACTTGCAGTGAAGTATTTTATTACATTATATATTATAGAGTATTTCAAAGTTTATGGTCAATTGTATACGAACATCATTTTCATTTTAACGTCCTGCATACACTATACAAAAAAGTCTGATGTTTGTACATCATTTTACTCGTAACGGTTCAGTAGTTTATGAACAACATGAAAAAACAAAACTGGAAGTTGCCCATAATCTACATTTTAGTACAGGTAAAATATCGCGCCACCAGAATGTTACCGACAGGCTCGTCCGAAGAGTAATGTATAAAAAAAGATTCATTTGTACCATATCGAGTTACATCAAAAGTTATTTAAGGATAATTTTAACAGAAGAGTTGCTTTTAGCATAAAGCATAAAGTAAATAGTAAAAATATCGTATACGTATACATATACATGTACAAAAAATTGTTGAAATTAATATTTAATTACTGTTTTGAAGCTATTTTCTATTATCCAGATTTAGCCATATGGCTCACTTAGTATCTTCTAACAATTTTCGTACACATCTGGACGTTGAGAATGGTACAGCTTTCTGCAAGGTTTTGTAGAGATGTTCATTCAGACCTAGCTTCTTTATGTTTTCTTGATTTCACGGAGGTTCTTCGAAATAACTCTAGTAGTATATATATATATATTCTTCCATGGACATCGCATACCTCAAACGAAGAAGTGCTGCATAGAATAGGCAAGAAAAGAGAACTTTTTAACACAGTAAAAGTTAGAAAAACATCATACCTAGGCCACATACTGAGAAATAATAAGTACCAATATGCCCAACTTATAGTGAAAGGAAAAATCGAGGGAAAGAAAGGCCTAGGAAGGAAAAGACTATCGTGGCTCAGAAACATCCGACAATGGACAGGGCTAAATTTTGAACAGCTAATACGAACAGCTAAAGATAGAGAAGAGTTTAAAATTGTAGTAGCCAACCTCCATTGAGGAGAGGGCACTTTAAGAAGAAGAAGAATTATATATATATTATATATATATATATATATATATATATATATATATATATATATATATATATATATATATATATATATATATATATATATATATCATTTTCATAGAGCTATTATCGTAGATTTAGCCATACGGTCACACTCTCTCTAAGTGAGAGCGCCCACCAAACTGACGTGGCAAGTAGCACGTAGCAAGTAGCACGTGTCTAGCATGTTTCTTAAAATGTAACCAATGAAAACAAATGATTCAACGCACACCAAAATGACAGTGACGTCATTCGTTCTAATCATTCGTTTCCATTGGTTACATTTTAAGAAACATGCTAGAGGCGTGCTACTTGCTACGTGCTACTTGCCACGCCAGTTTGGTGGGCGCTCTCACTAAGGGAAACATTTACTCATCATAGATACCTAGGGTATCGAAAGAATTAGGCTCTGGTGGGCCTCTTTCTGTGTGATCGAGCCCTAGCTGAATTGGTGTGCTGAAGTATCTTCCAAAAATTTTCGTACACATCTGGACGTCGCGAGGAGTACAGCTTTCTGCATGGAGCTATTTTCTATTATTATTATTATTATTATTCTTACTAAATATAATTTTATTAGTTCTAATATTGTTCTGCCACTACTACTCCACAATATTTCATCATAAATTGTTGATAACACACAATCAAAAAAAATATTCAATGTTTAAATTTTTTGATGTCATCATTATTAAGCACAAACAATGAAATTTAATCTCCAACTAGATATTTATTTAAGAGTTTTAATTATATGCGCTATTTTTAAATTCCTTTTTTTCGGATGCGCAAATGTGCGACATGGTCTCTTTATTTCATCATCATCTTGGGCTAGACAATCCTTTATGGCTGTTTGGTTTCTGGCAACGTGTATCTTCTGATCTCTAGTATTCCGAGATGGCAACGTGTTGCCATTTTCTGATCTCTAGTATCCCCAAGTTGGTCTCAACTCCATCTAACTACCTAATTCGTAATCGGCCTCTGCTTCTTCTTCTTATATATGTTCCTGTCGTTAGCTTTTTAGCAATCATGTTGTCAGGCATTTATATTACGTGTCCTGCCTATCTAAGTCTTTGTATTTTAATTAACATTATAACATCTGATTTATTCAAGAGTTTGCCACTAAACTAATGGTTTGAGGAGCAATATCTCAGCGTGGTGCTACACCTCTCTTTAAAGTTAGTGGTACTGTTGATAGTGCGAAATATTGTGACATCCTAAATGGTTTTCTTGTTGAAACGGCTCATGTTTTAAATCCAGATGGGTGACATTTTCAGCAAGGTAATGCAAGATGCTATACTTCTGCTTATACTCAAGCTTGGGTGCAAGAACACGAAGTGGCAACAATTCCGTGGCCAGCAGCATCTCCAGATCTTAGCCCCATTGGAAACACATGGGGACTGATGAAGATTAAAGTGGAACGAGCAGAGCCACGAGATAAAGAAAGTTTGATTCGGTCAGTTTTACAGGCATGGAACACCATTACCGAAAATTATGGCTTTTACGTAGTTTCGGGTGTACCTGGGCGTTTAGTTAAGTGTTTAGATTTACATGGAGGTTGTATAAGTAAATGAGATGAATTATTTGTTGAAATTTTATATTTCAAGTGATACAAATAAATACCGTAAAATTAAAATTCTGCATTCTTTTTTCCGGATACTTTCTAGACGGACTATACCTATGTAGTTGTCACACTAAAGCTGATTGCATTTTTTATGTAACAGGCATATAACCTTTTGAGACCTTTCACAGGGCATAGTCTCATTTTGCCAGATAAGAAGTAAACGTCAAAGCAAATCGTCACTACAAATTTGATCAGTTCCTGGTGCTTTATTATTTTTGAGCTTTTTATTGACTTGAGCAACCTCTTCAGTGGTAGGTGGCCTTTCAGTTGGGTTGAATACTTAAGGTACTTAAGACTTGGTAGTCAAGTACTTGGTACTCAAGAAAAATATTGTTTTTAAAGAACAGTCGAATTTGAAACCTTTTAAAGAAGGTAGATGTAGAAAATATTAAGGATTATACTGTAGTATATATTGCGTATTGTTCTGCAACTATTTTCTTGTGGCATCTTAATGCAATTACTATTTTTATTAAAAATACGCCACAATTTGAATTTAAAATAAGCTTATTTTTGACGTTTCAATTCCCGCTTCAAAAATGATTCTTAAGATCTTCTTCTTCTTTTTACGGTGCCTATTCGTTCCGGATGTTGGCGATCAAGATGGCTATCCTAACTTTGCTTGCTGCTATTCTGAAAAGTCCGGAAAATAGTCCGGTTGTCGATGTATTAAACCACTTTCTCAGGTTTTGAAGATATTCTTCTTCTCCCTGGTCCTCTCTTTCCAAATACCTTGCCCTGAAGAATGAGTTGCAACAAGCCGTATCTCTGTTCATTCCTCATTCTCAAAATACAAAACATTAATAAAGAACGATTTCCGAAGAGGAAATCGAAACGTCAAAAAAACTTATTATAAACCCAAGTTGTGGCTTAATTTCAATAAAAATAGTAGGTGTATTTTTTCATTTGAGGGAGGACGATCCGATGATCTTTTCTAAAATGTTTTTTAGTGATGAAGCCATATTTAGCAGAAGAGGTCTGCTTAACAGGCAGAATGACCATCCCTATTTTTAAAAAAATTATGCCTTTCACTACGTATAACAGCACAGTATAACGTCGCATAATTTGATCCCATATCTGTGACACTTATAAGCTTTATGTTAAAAACAATGCTAGTAATATTTAACAAAAACAAACATTTCGATGGTTTTAAATAATATACTTTACTTTATTTTCAGTTTTGAACGTGGCAGCTGGTAAAGCTCCAATGCAGGTCAGCACAGAATCTGGAGGAATACCACAGAAAGCCATAGACGGAAGTACGAGCGCATTTTTTAGTAGCGAAAGTTGTACCCTAACGAAACCTGAACGTTCACCTTGGTGGTACGTTAATTTATTGGAACCGTATATGGTACAATTGGTTCGACTTGATTTTGGAAAACCATGTTGTGGTAAGATTCCTTTAATTAATACTTATTTTTAGCTCATCACATATTATATTTTAAAAATATATTTAGATCAAAACCACTTATAAGTGTGAATATACTTGATTTCCATTTTCAATTAACTTATAAACATGCAATTTTACATTGGAATTATTACATTTGGAATTGGTTACATTCCAAACAAGAAACAATGCTTTATTCTTTTATGGAAATTATATTCTTACTTTATTAGTTTCAAGATACGCATTGCAGACTATTTGCAATATAGTAAAAACTCACATAGGAGTTCCTCCTATATATTTGTATATTTATAAAAATGTAAAAAAATAAGAAAGAGTGGTTTCATTTTTTTAAATTTTTTTTTTATTTTTAATAAATTTATTTATAACATTAGTATGTATAACGTTTCAAGAGTATTATTTAAAATGTTGGGACAAAAATATTAGAAATTACGAAATATGAGCTAATTCTCCAAGGTGAAAAAAAAAGTTACTTTGTGGTGTTTACCGTAACTTATAACTGGATCATCTGATGACAGAAAACCAAGAAGATTTATTTAGTTTATATTTTATTGATGTTTCAATTTCTACTTCGGAAATCTATGAGTTTATGAGTTTCCCTAGATCGTAAAACTTAACAATTTGTTAATTTTGTTTTTTGTTTTAATTTAGGAGCAAAAAAGACAGTTTTTTAAATTTTCGAAAAAATTTTGTTAAAATTTGGCTAGTGGGTTGTTGTCAAATTAATTTTAATACTAAAATGGACGAAATTTTGACGTAGCGACCCAATAATTTATCATTTGTGTATACAAGAAGTGTGCAAAATTTGAGAAGAATACATCAAAACTGTTTTTATGATACAGTGAATATCGACTTATCTAGAGGATATTTTTGCTGCTACTTTCGACGAACTTTGCTTTTTGTTGCATCTGCACCCATTTCATCCGCTCTAATAATTCGATTATTATCTGCTGCAAGTTCATAAATATGAGAACTTGACACTGTACTTATTCCAATTTTTATGAGTGCTTACTCACTTCACTCACTCATCTCTCTTACCTCACTCACTCATCTCACTCACATAGCTTACTTACTTACCTTACTTACTCACTCCAATCACTCACTCATCTCAATCACTCACATCCCTCACTCAGCTCAATTACTTACCTGACTCACTTAGCTCACTCACTTATCTCACTAACTCACCTCATTCACTCACCTCACTCACTTAACCCACTTACCCTTAAATGCTTAGAATTCTATAAATTTTTGTTTCGATCACTCTGAATTTTATCTGGATATTCTTAAACAGCTTTACTATCACATAAAAAATATAAAAACGCTAAAAAACCCTATCCCTCTTTAAGATTATTTAGAAGTTTATTTGACAACTATGTGTATCAAAGCAAAACTTCGAATTTTAAAAAACTAAAATACCAAGTTATACAATATTTAACAATATCTATTTTAAACCGATTTGATTACCAATATATACAATTAATTAAAACGTGTAATGTTTAAATTGTTTTTATTTATTTATTTATTTATATAAGCTTCAATTCGTGTGGGTATGCTTCAAAACAAATTGGCAACATTTTGTTGTAGAAAGTCGTTCCATTCTTTAAGAAGAGCTTGTAGCAGGTGTGCGATGTTTTGTGGATTATCCTGGCGAACTCTAATTCTTTTTTAAGCATACCACAAATGTTCTATAGGGTTAAGATCAAGTGAGCAAGCAGGCCACTCCATAACAGTGGTATCTTCTGCTTTTAGTCACCCTGCTGGTATATGGAGGTGCATTATTATGTACAAAAATTCAATTTTCTTCCATTGCACCTCTACAAAGCCTAAATACAAGTTCTAGAACCAAATCCACATACCTACGAGCTATTAAACTTGGTTGGATAGAAATTAAAGGATCGTATTGTCTGTCCAAAACATGATACTTTTTACTTTATATCTGTGAACAGATCTTATTACAGTTTATATTCTTGCTTGTTTTTCTCGTCATCTAAGTACATAAATTCGTTGGTCATCTCATTTAACACAAAATCGTGTTTTTTTTTGAGAATAGAACATTTTGCCAATTTCCAGTATTAAAAATATGGCCTAAAGACACCCATTTCGGCGATCAATCTTGTGCTGCCTGGATAACTCGGGAACTCATAACTGTCTACTGCTGTATACTCCTTAAGCAAAAAGTCTTTTTCTTTTAATTTCAACTCAAACACTTAGACCTGTAGGTTTTAACAGTTGCCTTTGGAGCTGCGGGTGAGAAATTACTGGGTCTCGTCTAGCTATTTGGACAATTAGATGATCGTGACGAGCCAATGTTACTTTTTGGCGACTTTGTCTTTGTTTTTTATAAGCGAAACTAATTCTGATAGATACCTACCATACGTTTTTGACATAACGACCTGTGTTTTAATAACATTGGTTAGAAACACATGGTGATTCCATATGTTTGGTTGTGTGTATTCGTAGTAACAGAAAGATTCTCCAAATTTATCGTCCCAAGTCTTCAGAAAGGGGATTCCCATTCCTTTTTTGTGACCAACTTTGGTCTGATAAAAACATTAATAAGAGAAATTACTCACCTACATATTGTTGATGAGCATGTCTCAAATATTCAGAAGACTTCAAAGTCTTTTATGATTTTTGTAATAAAAGATTCCAAATCGACCTCAACCATTTGAAAAACAACACCTTTTTATATTGTTAAATACTGTGACTTATTTCAAATACTTGAGACTTGAGAAAGACACTCTGCCACTCTTATAATAAATTTTGTGGAAGTTTTAAAAATAAAGTTTTCAGTGTTTTATTGTTACATAAAATGAATTTTCATCAAGTAACGGTCGAATCCATCAATTATTTTAAATGAGTTTTGAGATAGAGTTTATACAGTGTGTCAATTTTAAAACTAACAATGGGCTATATCTCACGAACAAAAGCTAATATCGAAAAATGCTTGAAACTGTTTGTAGGATAGTAAAGAGGAACTAAAATGACATGAAAGAGAACTCACCTCCATCAACCCTCTAGGCTATACATACCACAAACAAAAAGGATAAAATTACAAACCCCTACTTGTGATACATTATTGAAAAGAATATAAAAAATGCTATTTAATGGTATAAATAAGAACTATACAGGGTAAAGCAATATTTGTGAAACATTGTCTTAAATGGAAAATTTCATGAGGTTTTGCTTGAACTACAAATTTGTTCAAAATGTCAATGAAGTAAATATTCAAAGTGGGTTCAGTTGTTTTCTAAACAATAATACAGCCTACTTTCAAATTCTGCATGAACTTTGGTAAGTGTTCTTCTAGTAATACCGCGACATGCTTGCGTAATTATTTCTCGCAATTCCCCAAGTGACGCAGGTTTACAAACAACTAACTTGAGGTATTATATATATATATATATATATATATATTATATATATATATATATATATACAATAGCACTAAAGGCCTTAGAGGCCCATGGCTTAAAAAATTTTGTTCTTTCTTCATTTTCGCTTTCCTTTATGTACTGAGATCTTCTCTGGCTCGATATGTGACTTTTCTCCATTCCTTCTTGTTATTCATTTTTCTTTTCTGGTCGTCTAGTCCAATTTCTTCCATATCTTTTTCTACCTCCTGATTCCATCTATTTTTTTGGCCTTCCTTTTCTGTTTTTTGAAGTTATATTGTAGTTTAGTACACTTTTTGGAGTCCTCGTGTTTGGCATCCTTTCTAGGTGACCTTACCATCTTAGTCTCTGTGCCTTTATGACTCCTATTATGTTAGGTTGATTATATAATTTCTTTAACTCATCATTTGATCTTCTTATCCATAAACCGTCCCTTATTATTCCTCCATATATCTTCCCCAAGATTTTCCTTTCCCATATCTCCAGTAGATTTTGTTCATTTTTTGTCATTGTCCACGTCTCACTGCAGTATGTTGCTATTGGTTGTATAGTTGTTTTGTATAACTGTATTTTTGCCTTTCTTGATAAAAACTTGCTTTTCAACATTCCACTAAGAGCATGTACACTTCTATTGCCTGCCATTATTCTAGCTTGTATTTCTTCTTTAATGTTAGGTTTACGTGATATTATTGTACCTAGGTATGTAAATCTTTCTACCATTTCGAATTCGTATGATAATCTTTCTTCTACTTCTACTTTAAACTTTTGTCCATCCCTAAACTGATCATCTGTCCACTGCATACATTTTGTTTTAGTTTCATTTATGTAAAGTCCCATTTTCTTTGCTACTTTTACTATTCTCTGTACTATCTCCTGTAGCTCTTTTTTTCCTCTTGCCAGCAACACTATATCATCCGCAAATGCCAAAACTTGGTGTCTTTTATGATATAGGAGTCCTTCTCTATTAACTCTCGCTTCTCGCATTATTTTTTCTAGGAACTTGAGGTAAGCCCAAAAAAAAAGTCAGGTAGCGATAAGTCTGGCGAACTCGGTGGCCACTAAATAGGACCGCTCCTTCTAATGTATTTGTTTGGATAGTTAGTATCCAACCAGTGCCTAACTTGAGCTGCATAGTGGGGAGGTGCTCCATCTTGTTGGAAGTGCAGCAAATCTTCGTCTAGAGCTAGGTTGCCTTAATCGTCCCTTTGTTTCTCCAATTCATGCACACTTAAAGGTTCGATGATGCTTTTCAGCATATCAAGATATATGTTGCCACTTAAATTTCCTGGTATAAACAAGGGGCCAATTATAGCATCGCCTAATATTCCTGCCAAACTTTCAGTTTTTCAGGATATTGAGTGTGACCTTCACCTACATTCCTCAGTAAAACAAAATATTTTGAACATTTTCGGTTTAACGCCAATTCTTTCAGTTATGAGTTCACAAAACTCAATTCGTCGGTCTGGATCATCATCGGCTAGTTCTTGAGGAATTTGTGTTTTGTACGAGTGAAACTTATGTAGTTTCAACACCTTTCTAATCATCTCATGTTAAAGTCCTGTCATTGCAGATGCTATATACAGTAGGCTCT